GTGGTCCGATGTAGGTATGAATAACATTTTTAAAAGATTTTCTATTTAAACCCGCTGTATATGTAGCTTTATACTTTATAATCCAGTTGTCATTAACAGGGTTACTGTAGAGTTTTGGTGGAAGAAAACATTTCCATAGTGGGTATTTGATTCTTGTTTGTTTTGATAACTTGGGCAAATTCGGTACTGCAAATGGTTTTAACCGTGGTACTGTAACGCAATATTTTTTTTGGATGCTTTGTTTTTGAAGATAGGGATGGAAAGTATAATACTCGTATTGTTGCTTGGGGCCACAATTAATAATCATCATATCATTTTCTTTTTCTATTTTCTCCTATCAGATCCATTTGTTACACAGTATTTATCGCATACATCTTTTCTTTTTTCGTTCAAAAAACTAAGAATATTTTATTTATTTATTCTTTTTAAACAATTTCATATATGAAAGTGAGATATTTTCCTTTATGTAAGTAGGTAGCAGTAGTACCTATTGGCTGCCGTGCATTATTATGTTTATAGCCGAATGCTAAAAGCATAAAAATACTGATCTAAAAAGTGTCACGGCGTTTTCTAAATATTTGTAAAAGTACTAACTGACGAACAAATCCATCAATAGTTCATTTTATTTTTGTCGTTCTTGTTGATAAGGTTTTTATGAAATAAAAGACGAATCCATCAAAAATATTGGGCAATTGTATCCAGGCAAAGCTGTGCGGTCCGCTAATAAATAATAGGAAAAAGACGTAAAAATAAATTGACTTTTACCGCCAGCAAAATCCTCAACATATTTCTCTAACATTTACACGAGTATTCGGCTAACTCTTTCCGCAGATTGTAATTAACCCACAAACTTTCTAGATACAGAACAAATTCAATACCTATAAGTATTCTGAAATGAATTTATATTTTTTTTACGGTTTATTGCGAAAGTAGATACATAGCGCGCCTAAGACCAGACATAGTTACGTTAACAAAAACATTCAGTATGTAACAATAACTTATTACTAAATGTAAGTACGTCCTTACATTGGATTATAGATTGTAAGTAGGTTTTATTGCTACACTGCTAAAGTCAAAATACTCTTTACCACTGTTTCTAAAGCGGCCATAAGAGTCTTAAGAACATGCAAGGGTTTCTTTTAATATTAACTTTTATTACATTCCCCTTTATTTTCGTGTGCTGCGATGATTATTTCAGCTAACGGCTATCAGTTATCAGTACCAGCGGCCAATTGAAAGAGCAACATCCAACTTTGGTTCATAATAGTGGGTTTATAAAAATTCAGGTCTATATCATTTATACATATATCGTCCATAAAATGTGGATGACGTCGACGATAGGTTTTTTTTTATATTTTGCCCAGCTCCAGTACCAAATTATTGTTACATGGTAACTAAAAATCACTATTGTATGTCATACTCTTGTAAGAGAATTCTGACGCTTATCCGTGTCAAACTCTTGTTAGGAGTGCTGTTGCAAAGAGTTGGCTGAATGAGCCATAATATACTTAGCCTAATAAAACCTGAAATTGAACCAAAAAATAATAGCACAGAGGATGGGTGAAAGTGAACGCTTTTAAAATCTTTTTTAAAAATAATAAGTGTCCGTTATTATTTTCAAAATCATTTTTAATACAATATAACGCTATTGAAATATTTACAATTAATATAATATAAAAGAACTAGTAATTAGGAATAAGTAAATGTTCCTTGCGTGTTGATTGATAGGCCATTTAAGGAAGTAAGCATTGTAAGTGTGAAAGAAAATACACTAACGAGGAATTATCTAGACCCATAATCTTCATAGGTTACTCAATAAGTTGTGTTTATTTATGTTATATACATACATAATGGGTAATATGTATATGAAGTACGGTCAAGCGATTTGATTTTCAATAATTCTCAGTTGCTACCGGTGCTGTGCGACAGGTACAAAGCTTTGAATGGATTTTGATTTAATGGAAATAGGCTGACTTATGTTGTATTATATGGTACTATACACACCTATCTATGCATGGATTAATAAAATAAGCGTAAGATAGTCATGCATTATGAGGTCGAATGAATCGGAGTGAATCCACCCACGGCTTCACAGAATCGGCGTGAACCAACGTTTGCATTATGTGTCACTGGTAAATAAAAGTAAACGATTCCTAAAATCCCTAATCCCTAATAGGCAACGCACTTGCGACTACTCTGCTATAGCGGGTGTCCACGTGCCGCGCCGATTGCTAACTATACAGTAATTTCAAGGCTCAAAGAAGAAAACAACGCTATTCTTAATTCTATAGAAATTAAATGCATATTGGCATTGGTGTTGATTCGGTTTTGGATATTAGTTAACCACTGATTGAAAGGGCTCATGAGATTGGGCACGGGATTAATTCTGGTTTAATGAAATGGTAACAGAATTGAGACTCCCGGATATCTCAAAGACAAAGCATATGATAACGATTGAACAATGCTACTTATACATATAATATTAAAATCGATGATGGACAAATATTTTTAGTTAAAGATACAAATTATAACGTAGACAAAATAAAAAGATAGATTCAGTTATGATTTTGAAGTACTTATTATATTTAATTAGGTTATAAGAAATGGACACCAGCAGTATCGAACATCCATTTGTAATCACTAAGCCGACATATAATAGGCAGAATTAGGACCTTTGTTTTAAAAAAATCTTTTAATGCCACTAGTGTTTATGTTACCGAAAAGAAAATTCAACAACGAATATCTCAACAAGACACGGATTTCTTATTGTGTTTTTCAAGAACCTCATTATAATACAAACGCTTTGCACCTTTGAGAAAATAATCAACACTTCTTCAACAAAAACGTAATAATTTCTGTTATATTTTTGGCACGCAACGCTATCGGGTAAGAAGCTGTAAGATGTATTGAACTAATATTTTATTGAAGAATTAATTTGTCTAAACGTAGTATAATAGCGTAAGCCTATTGCCAGAGATTTAATAATATGTCTTCATAAGCATCGAGGTATCTAAACGGATTAAGGAGATTCATTCCGAAAACAATAATGCTCAGAATACAAGGAATTCCCGAAATCGAGATAGGAAATTGTACGTGTTTACGATACATTTACAGAGATAACGATTTCGATTCATCCCTCGCTCAACCACTTAGCAAAGGGCTTTACTTGAAAAATAACAATAGTTAGCACGAAGAAAAATATCTCTTACAAAGTGGTCAGGCTTTCCTGCTACTCTCTCACATAAAAATATATGGGACGGATAAAGTTAATAATTAAAAAACCAGCAATTCCTTTTGATATTAAATCAATTCATACCTATCTTGTGTAAATAACACGAATTACTTTTATTGACAAAAAAGTCTAATTTACCTGATGAAATTAACGATAAAATAATGTAAGTTTATTTTATCAATTATATTCAAATACCGTTCTCGTATTAAAGAATGAACTAATTCCCCCACGGACCTGTCTATATTTTCAAACGTAGGCTAAGAAAACTATAAATCGTTTCAGTAAATCAGGTTCTCACCAACCGTGCGAAACCATGTAATCAATAACACTACTCGTAAGCTACTCCTACGCTGAGTAGGAAAAGCCAAAAGTCAATGCGTACACCTTTGTCAATATGTTACTGGTAGCATGTGTTATTTTGGTACAAGAATGTTGATATTTCGCCCCACAAGACCCATTGTCGTGTAAGTAGGGTTAGGCATCGATCGTGCGGCTCAGTTATTGTCGTACTTATCGTTTTTCCTGAGTCACGTATGCTCCAGGGTACACTCTGGGGACAGAATTAGCTATTCTGAACATTAGCGAAGCAAGCAATTTTTGTAATACTCAAGGATCGACAATAATTTATGATGCTTTTGATATTATTACACAATTTCTCGATATAGGTATAATCTTGTTCCTCGAGGTCTACAAGGGTATTAAGTTTGGAAAGTCGGATCTTATTAGGTGATTGAAAGATGGAAAAGTTGAAGATGATTTCGCAAATTACACGAAGGTTTTATTTTGTTTCTGAAGAAATGTTTAGCAAAGTACTTGTAAAGTCTTTATTGTATTTTTTCCATTTCAAATATGATTGGTAAGATGGAAGAATCTTTCGTAACTGTATGAAATATACAAATTATATATGTGACAAAAGTATATTATGTTTGTATTCTATAAATAAATAATAGGAAAGTCCCGTTATGTCAAATCTATTTGTTAAAGGCACTATAAAGATTTCTTTTTAATGTTATTTCCGACTATGTTTGACCGTTGTCAGTACAAAGTAAAAATCTATATTTTTCTATGCCACCTTCTGATAAAAAAAATATTATTATTATAACCGCACAAGTACTATACATAACGTGAACAATTCGTTTCTTTGAATTGAATCCATAATTTACTTAACATTCTTAAACCCATTTTTCTATTCAAATTTTGTATAGTTCTTCTATTGTAATTTATTCATTGCCATCAGTCAGAGTTCAAAAGTCAAATTCACCAATCTTTTTTTTATCAACATTATTTACATATTTAAAACAACTTCGAAAACTAGGAACCATTAATCTGACACGGAACAATGGCATCCAATCCCATTGGTAAGTCTGTCTCAGTCGGGATTCGTCCATTTCAAATTAGTTTAACTTGGATGGCTTGTTTATTTTTCATTTATCTGAGGCACGGAAAGAGGAACTTTTACGTCCCAGCTTCGGTGTTTCAACGTGAACTAATTGATGGGTGCAATTTTGCGAAATTGTTTATAGCAATCAGACTTTATCGCAATACAAAATAATAGGTACCTATGACTTTGTAAGAATTTGTTCTTATAAATCAGAAATATTGGAAATGGAAATATTAATAATCGAATGAGGTTTTTTAATGACTTACTTGATTTCTTCTGAACTTTAAAATAAATTTTAATCTCTTACTAAAATAAAATAGCGTCTGTGTTAATCACAGCTACGAGAAGTAAAGGCGGCACGACAATTATAATGAACGTTATGCACAGTTTCGTGAGCGCATCCCGGTGCGCTTCATGCATCGGTGAGTCAGCCCGCGCGGCGTGGTACCGGCACTCAGACGGGTGGCGCGGAGCTCCTCCTCCCGGCCCACGCCGCTCCCCTTGGGACTCCCTCCCCAGTCTCCGTCATGAAGGCAGCCTTAACGACTCCGGCTACAGGAGCAACAGGGCTGACAGCTTCGAGCAAAGGTATGATGTACTTCATGTTATTTCAGATATTTGCAGTAACAGTTCCATTTCGGCAATTTTATATCGTGACGTTTTACTTTTGTAATCCTATTAAGAGTAACATACATAGACTAATTTCAATTACTGTACTCTGCCTCTGATTCGAATGACAATTTCCAAAACATGGCTCGGTACAATCACGGGCACATAAAATGTATGATGCAATCTTAATAAAGAATATTATTGCACACACACATGCATGTATAAAATACACATACATACCTTTACCAATGGGCAAAATGTGTAGATTATGGAGATTTTTAAATGTATACTAACATTAAAATTTATAAATTACCAACCACAACCATTAAAAAGCTGTATGCTCTGGTTTGATATTCAATGCTTATTTGAACAATATTGAAGAAGATTGGTAGTGAAATCAAAATCCAAATGAAGTTGGCATTTCCTGTCTCTCGAAACCCGACCCGAAATGGAATGAACGAATTTTGACTCCTGTCAATAGGAATCAAAATTCGTTCAATTTTAACGTTTTATCCATTAGTAAGTATTAAAAAATCAAATGGGCTGATTTTAATTTGTTTTCCTAAGTTCTCTTTGATATTAACCCATCTATTTAGTACTAACATGCCGAGGACCTTTTCAATTCTAGTAATTTAAAGATGAGAAGATGTAAATTAATTAAAATATATCAGCAATGACTTTCATTTCAATTGCGAATGCCGATATTTCTGCTTATTATGAAAATCAACAAGAATCAATGAAAAACCTAAAATTTATTATTTTACTGCTCGACTGGGCAATCTGCCGTCCGTTCAGATTATGTTGCCGGTTTGATGACAATGATCAACTCTTTGAAAATTTACTTTTTATAAACGCAACCATGGCACTGGAGAAAATACTGAGCAACATTTTAAGAAAAAAGAAATACGACGAAATAATAATATTAAAATTGGTTTACTTGAGTTCCGAATTTAATAAAAATAAAAAATAAAACAATCTTCAATATATGCGCTTATTTTTACAAGTGGTGTTTTATCTCAAAAATCGGTAAATATATTAAAACCTTTATAGGTCCGTCTCTAGGGCGACGCTTTCGTATTGCAATTTTCAAAGAAACTGATTACTGACAAAATATAAATTTAATTACTTCCCGAGATCGGCGTTAACATAAAAAAAAAACAAAATTAACTTAACTCCCAATGGTACTGAATTTGACTTATGCGTAGCAAAGTGGCAGTTGTAGTAAAATACTAATATAGCAGCATAAACAAAGATTAAAAAAAATTTTTTTTTAGGGATTAAACAGGTAGAAATACCAAAAATGAAACTATCCGAAAGGCATTTTCTAAATTCTCACGAGATGACAAAAATTGAAAAGTTTGTCGGAAAAGGTATTTCGAAAGGTATTTCCTGTATCCTCTTAGAACCGTCTCCAGTTCTCCTGGGAATTCATTCCACCTGATGATGCATTCCTACGTTAAGCTATTTTCGACATCTAGCGAAATTGTATTTTTGGTTTGTCGATAAGATGTAAATAAGTGATGTGAATATCACTTATTTACATCTTATCGACAAACCAAACACATAAAGATTGATAAAATTTGCTCTTTTATTTCCCTTTCAATTTCAACCCTAAGGCAAAGTGAAACAGAAATCCTTTAATCAAGTCAAGTTAAGAAAGGGTAAATATTTAGTTTCTGTTTCAGAGGCGTTTTCGACCGCCAAGACAGTGTTCGTTCGGAATACACAAGCGATCGTGAATCAACGCGATATGGAATTGTTCAGCAAGCTTCGATTGATAGCACCGACTCCAGGATCTGCTACTTGACATCGAGTGAGGTAAGTGTAACACAACTTAAATCTTATTACTTTTACCCTTTTTTTATAGATGCTTGGCTTTTAACATTGATAAGTGTTTGAACAAAATGTGTTACTTTTTTTAAACATACATGTTAGTTAAGAACAACAGAAAAAACAGCTTATTATGTATAGTAAATTAACTTCTCACAATTTAAAAACATACACCCAATTTGTGTGTGGGTTTAAGTAGTTGGGACAAAGCGAGTGGTTGTATAAGTCAAGCTCGGCGAGGGAATACGTAAACGATGAATTTCGTATTATTGCTGAATCCTTCCCAAAATTGTCCCAGATCTAATTATGAATTCTATGAAGTACTCTAATACCCGGCTTACCAAATCTATCCACGTATTTTGAAGCAAAAGGCAAATCGATTTACTAAGGCAGCTTCCAAACACAGGTATTAATTTCACTCTCAAGTAAGGTCGAGAGAACCAAATGGAAATAATTAAAATACACCACTTACTTAAACCCCGCATTATGATTATCCATATTTAGCGCTTATCGCCGCACCGTTGATCAAAGGCCTTCCACTACTTGGACTTTCAAGTTGCTACCTTTTGCGAGATCTACATTATTCTCTTCAGAACATAAATGAAGAAAACGCGTTTTCTGTGTAGACAGGTTAAATGTAATAATTAATCACGTAACTCGTGGTTTCTTCCATCAAATAACAGTATTATTTATAACAATGTATAAAGAGGTTTATAGTATGCACATAGATTATTTATTTCAAATTACCAATAACCAAAAGTACTTACTAAAAAGATGTGTATGACTATTTATCAAGACCGTTTCTTGGACAGAATAATATGTTTTCCCAATATGTTAATGACAAATGCAATAGAGCGTGAGAGATAGATGTGGACGTCAAATCGGAAACTGAACCACCAAAAATTCTGCGACAGATACACATACGGTTTACAGATAGGTAAACAAGAGGAAACACGAATGGAAACTATATTTCACGAACTTAATAAATGTTACACGAAGATTACGACGATATTAGTCTTTAATTCCTATAAATTGTGAATGAACGCACTCCCAAGCTTTAATAATCTCACATCAGTGGCCAATCTATATGCAAAGTAGGCACCTGGCCTACTGGTCTTTGAATTAATTTTATGTTTTTTGTGTCATTATGTACATAATGAAGTAGTACTAACTCATTTAGCCATGTTACCCCTGATAAACAAGCTTAATATAATCTAATAGACGTTGCTAAAAATACAATTCCATTTTATCAACACAACGCGATATACCATAACACTATCATCGTAATTATCCTCTGCAATGTCGTAAGCTTACAAGACCCAACCAAAAGAGAGAGAAGAGTAAATATTTTATTGGTTTATCCAACATGTAATATGGCTTGTCATATCGAAATACAGTCCCTAACTGATTTTAATATAAGTTGACATTAATTGAATTGTATAGTGTGATGTAGTCCTTGGATTCATATGTTATTTATAGAATAGTTCATAAATAAAAAAAAATAGTGACGGCCGACGACGGTCCGGAGGAGCGAGGTCTGGGATGGTTCGCCCGCACTCGGAAGCAATCGGCGGAGCCTGCGCGGCAGGCGCGCTGCGCACTCAACTCCTCCAATCGTATCCTGAACGTAGTATTAAAAATATTATTTTGAGGTTAACTTCTCTCACTTATAATACAATGAATTGAAGCTAATCGTGAATTTCGAAAACGTAAATTTGTTACAAACTAGGCGTGTCGAATGTCGCGTAAGAGAACATTGAACCGAAAATTGAGACGTTTCGTGTGTGTAAATACAAAGCTTTTACTGTCAAGTGCACGGACAAAGAAGAGTTGCGTCGTCCTCGCTATCGCTACGTTTAACTGGGATACTCAGTTGTAAATCTTATGGTTGTTATAGATAAAGTATAAATCGAATGAAACTGTTGTGAAGATACGTATATTGTCTATAAACATATCCTGCGTGTTGAAGTGAAGTCAATTCCAAGGCCTACGTATGAGTGAATTGTTGACATATATAAATGTTCCATTTCCATTAACAATAAGAAGATATTTAATATAATTAAATATATTACTTGTTACTACTTAAGTAGTGTTCCTGCCTGTATATCGCTTCATCCACCTGTGATATTTCGTCTTCTTAATTATTGTTAACCTCTGTGTGTAGGTGTCGTCTAAAACTGCCAATTTTAAGTAAATATTTTACTGTAACTCATAGAGTGTTCAATGTTAGTTGTTTATACTGTAGAATCAATAATTGAAGTTACAGTGACGTTATTTCTAATATAATTCCAATACGTAAATATTTACTATTGTTAGATTAGTACATAAACGAAACAATATAAACAAATATAGACACATTTCAAATCGCGAAGCGATATCCATTCTATATAAATATGTATGTTTAAACGATAAACTTGCATGGGGGCCATCAAATCTAAGAATGCAGTATTTTTGAAGGTATTGTGTTTATCATAATTAACAAATATTATAGTTCGATTTCTTTAATAATATAAAATTGCACTAACACTAATGTAAACAATAAGTATAGAAATAGTAGAAATGATTCCATTATTAAGTCACAAAACTATTTATTATTATAATTTACCTAACGCAATTCCAACATTGAAAAATGATACGACATAGGAAATTCAAAATGTGAACCCTGCCTTTTACTGTTATTTAAATAGAGTTTTGCATTTGATACTTGTTTTCGCTTTTAACGTTGTCCTTGGTAGGTGGTGTTTCTGCAAAAGGCAAGTTTATTTTAGGTTGTTTGTCGAACGCCTCCCTCTCTATTTCACTGTAATGTTATACTGAAGGCCTAATGTTTATTCTTGAACGCGGCCACGAAGGTACGGCCACTGTAAATTGTGTCAAGGTCGAGTTTCTATTGATCTCCTTCTTTCGTAGCGAGGCTCGACCCGTCCCATGTGTTTTCCGGTTTATACATTCTGATGTGTATAATTATTTCAAGACCCAGCGGACAAATTGAATATAAAAAGGGTTAGATACTTGGAAGCGATTCTTTATTGTATGCGATTCCTTTTATTTTCTTTTCAATGTTCATAATGTTCTTTTTTATTGCTTCGTTTATTATTTGAGTTATGTTTGGGTCTAATAAAATTATATGTGGAAGTATTCTTCACCTGAAAGATGTTTTTACGACCGTAACATGTTTTAAAGTGTGAATGGTTTATAAACAAAAACGAGCGGTTATTTGCAAATACTTGCAGATTGGTTTGTGTGGTCACAAGCACAAATGCTGAGTATCCAGGTTCGATTCCAGAATTGCAAATATTAGTAAAAACATGAAATCTGGAGTTATGTTCTGCAGTTCCAGGCTCGAGCTTGTATTCCACTATTAAATTGGATTTATAAACGGAACCGGACTTATAGGAAGTGAAAATCTGCAAAAACTCCATTTTTGGTGGAGGGGAAATCATCAAATTAGTTCTCTCGTCCAAGGCATGGCGAGAGAGAGTTTCTTACTTAAAACTAAGGCTAAGGCCGCGGTACCTTATTGTGCTTGACCCGCGACCCCGACTAAAGACTGGCCAAGTTGGGCGCCATCTGTGGTGGTCTATTGGATCATTGAGGCTCGCGGACTGCTACAATCTGCACGGGTCTGGTTCTGGTCGGGCGGCGAGCTATAGAGCGAGGAAAGTACTGCATATATTGGTTAGGAAGAAATAGCGAGACTTAACATACGATTTGAAGGAATGTATCTACAATATATATTAAACGTTTTATTTATTATTACATTTCGTGGAAGTGATGAGTTTGTGAACTTGTACGTTTGTAAATGGTCATACGACACACGAGAAGTCCCCAGGAATAAAATTACTAAGTTATTCTATATAAGTTATTTAAAGAACTCATCAAGGGGTTTATAAACCCCTTGATGAGTTCTCATTTCATTCTCAACCTCATTCTCAATCTCTTTGATTTGATATCCACAAAACAGTATTTAAAAAAATATACCAAACATAAATTAATTCTGTCATGCGTTTGGTGGAGATACAGATAGGTAAGAAAAAAATTCACCAACTTATGAATGTACCTACATATTAAACTAGCAGACCGCCCCTGCTTCGCACGGGTACCCGACGACCCTGGTGTCAGTCATTTGTTTTGCAACCGAACGGCCACGGCGTCGAAAGGGTTGTTAATTGTCGCTATTCCCCTTTACTTTCCTAAAGTTTCTCTCGTAAGAACCTTCTCCTATATTAAAGAACATAACAAAAAAAGAATTAGCAAAATTGGTCCAGGCGTTACTGAGTTATGCGCTTACCAACACATTTTGCGATTCATTTTCATATTATAGATTTCGTACGTTATAAATAACAAAACCGAGCGATACGCTGCACTTATATTATACAATACCCAAAATTATTTAGTCTAAAATAACTGTTATTGTTTTGATACTGAATTTGATTACTATCGATTAGATTACAAAAAGTTTTGTCTATTAAAATAGTAACATGTCACTGTAAAATAAATACTATAATTTACTGGTGCTATGTCTCATGACTTTTATTTAGAAAACTTAATATCTTTCTTAGAAGAATAAAATAACAACCCTAAAAATGTTCCCTGATATTCAAATCCAAATACTCGTAATAAATTTTGTGTGTGTATCAAGATTTCCAAATCATTGCTCATAAATTACATAGCTGTTTGTCTTTCACAGTAAAAATAATAGAGTCGCTGCCATTTTTCATAACGCATGCAAAAATAACACACGAATGATAACAAAAACATTTATAAGGTAAAAATAAAGGATTTTTCGCTAGTGACTATATAAATGGCTGACAAAACAGCTCGACATGATGTATATCCGCAGGAAACATGTAATACGTTGAAGACAGGTTATTTATCGTAGGTAATGCAAACCCCTTTTGTTGAAAGCTTTTAGAGGCGGCTGCAGACTAAAGGTTTTGTTCTTAGAATAACTACAATACATGACACCAACCATTCATTTAAACTCCTTATATTTTTTTTAATACTTCATTTTTGCTTTTTTGTTACAGGTAAGTTTAAAAGAACGTTAAA